TGTCCATATGGAACAGCTTGAGGGAATTGTCCTAGGTCAGGTCAACCATCCCTCCCTCCGACATCAATACTCGCGAAGGGACCAAAGACCAGGGGAGTCGGCGGAACAATACGCGAACGAATTAAGAATAGTGATCAGCCGAGGGTTTCCTGAGAAGTCCAAGAAAGTCCATCGGTAGTTTGCTCTCGAGCGGTTCCGAGAGGGACTGTTGAATCCCGTTGCCAAGCGTGAGCTCCAAGGCCGAGCCCCCACCATTCTGGGGGAAGCGGTTCGTAGGGTGGAGACATTCGACATTCAGAGCCTGGGCAAAAACGAGGCGCAAAGACGGTCAGAAGAGCCAAAACAAGCGAGCAGCTCGCGGGTCAACGGCCCCAGATGCGAAGCACGAGTCCCCTGGCGCACCAAACCCCAGAGATACGGTGGAACGGCCCGCAGGTTGTAACAACAGGAACCAAGTGAGACCCCATTGAGTTCTGTTTAATTGCCGATTATAAGCGGACCAATGGAATCACAGTGTTTTCCCCTACTCCTTACTGTTGGTCTCAGAGGTGGGTATGTTAGTGATTTGGTCGACACAGGAGCCACGTGTAGTCTTATCGACGTAGATCAGTGTCAGATTCGTGAGCTAAGCCGAGACGGCCCGCGAGTGAAAGCCGTCAACGGGTCTCGTCTCCAAACCTGGGGCTGTCTGGACGTCGAATTTCAGATGGTGGGAACCAAGGTCAAGCACCCCATGGTGGTCGCCTCGAATCTGCCATGGAAGATGATATTAGGAATTGATTTTCTACGCCATTTTGAAATATGCCTCGACCTGAGTAGGAACATTCTAACCTTCGACGGGAAAGAAATTCACGTGGGATCAGGCGAAGCAAGCGAGGAGGATTGGGCACTCGAACTCCACACCGTGGATCCCCCTGGCCAGGTGTCGCGCATGGTAGAGAATACCAGGGAACTATTGAGCGAAGAACAGCAAGGGAGATTGAAGGCGATGATAGACAGCCACAAATTGGCGTTTGCCTGGGACGGTGTACCTTTGGGTCGTACCAAAATAATTCAACATCGCATCGGCACGCAAGGAGCCGCGCCCATCAAACAACATCCTCGCCGTTTGCCCGTAGCTTACCGGTAACCGCTAGAAGAGCTGATTCAATCAATGATACGAGAAGGTGTAATTAAGCCTNCGCGCATGGTAGAGAATACCAGGGAACTATTGAGCGAAGAACAGCAAGGGCGATGATAGACAGCCGCAAATCGGCGTTTGCCTGGGACGGTGTACATTTGGGT